ATAAATCAAGAGCATTTACCAAAAAACTTTCATTTTTCCGTCGAAAATATCATAATAGAGCGCTTTTATTGGTAAACTCCAAAAATTAGAGAAATTTTGACGAAACAAACCAAAAAATCAGAAAGAAAGGATCTCACGTTTTGACCAATCAAAATTGCTAAAAAATCTTAATGCTAACTAAAATTAATATGTAATAATAAAAGATAAAGAAACCTAAAGTAAACTCAAAAGCGAAAAGAAACAGAGAAAGCTAAAAGTTGAAATGTGCAAGAAAAAAAAGACAAAACAAAGTAAAAAATAATGTTTTCGTTCACAAACAACTAAAATTTTTTTTATAATTCCAAAACTTGAGATTATTGTAAAAACCGCTTTTATCTGAATCTAGTTTTGACATTTTTCCACATTTTTACAATTTTACTACCGCTCACCTTCAAAAACTCAAAAAATTCAAAATTTTTTAAACTTGATCCAAAAACATTTTATGCACTTTTTTGAGTCTTTAGCACCTCTAGAAATGTAAAAAACGTTAAATAGATCAATTTTAAAGATAATTTTTTTTTGATTTTTGTCGAGATTTTGGTCGATTTTTGCCACCCGGAACGGTCTAATGGCAATAACTCCGGACTTATTGGAGATAACCTCTTATATTTAGTACCGTCAGATAGAAAATTTAATTTTCTTTCTAACACAAAAAAGAACGTTGCTCTACGATAAGTAATTATCGAGAATTTCTGATAAAAATAAACATTTTACACATGTCTACCTCAAAATATGATATCATTGAGGTACAGTTTTGCCGGAATTTACAAAATAAAAAAAAGTAAAAACATGTCTGTAGGACTTAGAGCAAAAGGCGAAAAAACGTTAGAATTTGCATTGATTGTCTATGTAATGGCGTAAATCATAACTAATTTTTCTGTAATAAAAACAAAAAGTCCTGAAATTTTGCCCTGAAATTTGACTTTTCAGCCTGGTGGACGAGCACCGCAGCAGTTACGGCAACCTGCGCCTCAGTGACTGGTTCAACCGTCCCGCCATCGTCGAAGAGGGCGACAATTTCGACGAATTGACCCGTGGTTTGGCCACTCAGCCGGAACTTGCCTCCGATCCTTACCATGACAGTGAGGTAAAGTACCATCAAGCGTGAAAATCCCCCATTTCAAGGCGAATTTTTCAGATAACTCAGTTTTTGTTCCGCGACGGCCAACAATTCGGTCAGGATTTGAAGGCCATTGACATACAACGAAATCGCGACCATGGACTCGCTTCCTACAACGAATATCGAGCCTTCTGTGGACTTCCAAAAGCCCACACTTTCGAAGACTTCCTCGACGTGATGACACAAGAAGTAAGTCCGAAAAAAAATTGAACTAGTTCCATAGTAGTTTCTTTTTGAGAGAATGTGAAAAAGTTTACAAAAAAAAGAATAAAAACTGCGTTACTTTCTTTTCTTTGTTAAACAAGGCAAAAAATAGGTCAAGAATTGTTTTTTTCGTCGATTTTGATATCTTTAGAGTGTTTTCCAATAAAAAACACAAAATTTTACAGATTTCGTCAAAAAAGTGCAAAAAGGTAACCAAAATGCGTAATATATAATGGATTTAAGCATTTTCTAGCAAAACAAAATAAAAAAATTGGAAAAAAATCGAACTAGTTCCATAATAGTT